TGTTGCAGGCGGTGCCGTCTAGGGTAGCTTCAATGGATTTAGCCACCGCAGGAAAGGTAAACCCGGCAAGGACAACACGTCAGGTACCCTTGCATCGAACACGGTGTTTGCCTCTATTGCGACCGGATCTTGTTGGTCTTGCTATACCAAAGCAATGCACAGCCCTGGATAGGGGATGATATCTCGACCCCCGCGTCGCTTTCCCGAGGCACGATCGGCCCTGGAACGTGAGACGGGGGAAGTACTGAAGTATCATTCATCGAACAACACCGTGTTAATAATCTCGTCAATTCTTAGAACTCATCGTGCTCTTAGATAGCCCAGGTATTCGTTCTCAGAGACATAGACTGCTTTCCTCTGTACTCTGGCCAGGAGCTCGCTCGACATCGGCAATGGAGATAGGTTTCCAATTCGCTGGCCCATATACGCGAGACAATCGTTCAGGTACTAGGATTCCTTGAGACCTTTCGGGTACCTCATATGAGCTTTCTTCTTTGTGTGCAGACTCTGACATGAAATACATGATCCGAAGTCATTGGGAACGAAGGAAATGGCACGAGAACTTCGTGTCCACTCCAGCATCGACATGAGCAAGGGCTACCTTGGGTGCCATGCTCAGTGCCAAGCAGGTTGGATCACTGTCAACTGTAGCGACGGTTGCACTACCCAGGAAACGTAACCCCTCCCAGGACTTTTCGTAGCGTTCTGCGGAAGATGTTGTCCTAAGCCCACGTTCCAAGGGTAAGGATGCACTGGAGGAAGAAGGCGCATGCAGCAATGGCACCTAACCAACTCAGTCTACAGTATCGGTGTCCCGGCTTGGCTGTTGGAACCAATCATTAGGTAAATTGTCTGCAATATTCAGGCCAGGACCCTGGCCCTTGAAACCGGGCCAAGTTACCAAATGTGGACATTAGGAAAACGGACTTCGTAAAACAAGGGACTTGACCATTCTGTGTGCCTCAAACTTAGCCTAATACGCATCAAACGTTGTCTTTTTCTGTCTCTCAAACATATTGCAGAATATAACGATATCATCAGATCTCAGAACGACAGCATGGGACGAAATTTCATCTGCACTAAAGCTAAGATTTGATCATCAGGCGCATCAGGTGAACAGCCATGTACTTATGTCGGACGTCACATCATATGAGGGGGGACGCTTCCCCGGACCCGCCTTTCAGGATCGAACGTTTGTAACTCCGCGTCCGCTAGGCACACCTTAGTATCAATCTTAATCGAACCGCTTGTGCATGCATCCATCGCTATCGCATGCGGGGAGAGCCGACCACGCCGCCTTGTGGACGTCCATTCTTCGCATCCAAAGCTGGTCCCACTGGCAAGGGCCCACCCGGAACCACCATGCCGGCTTATCGCGTATTATTGCTTTAGAACCTCCGATGAGCTGCTGTGCTTGTTCTGGCATGACCTTCGTGTGTCTGCGGAGCGTTCTCGGGGCCACCCGTATCCGCCCACTCGCGGGTCATTTCCGTGGACAGGACTAGATGTAAGAAGCACTCAGTTAACATCCATAGCCTCTATGTCTCCAGACTTCCAATCAGACGAGGCGTAGTCCAGTGGTAATCGCCGATTCCATGTCGAAGGAAGATATGAACTAACGTTCTTTACACTATTCCGGCCGTCTAGCCTTTTCGTGTTATGATTACGACACAGCCTACCATCATGAACATGGTCTTTTGATTACATGGCTCAAAGTTATCTTGTAGTCATCACAGAATCATACCATCCCATTATACCATGGGCGATTAAGATACCGGATACGGTATGCGAGGCCAATATCGCGGGGCACACTCGACTGGAGAACCAAGTGTGGACTAGGGTCAACAACCCCCTGTCTGTGTTGGTACCTTAACATAGCACGCACACGCAGCAGTATGTAGTCGTGCTCTGCGCCATTATTTACGTGGCAGAACCCATGGGTGAGTCCTCTTCATTGGTTGGTCAACGTCGCATCCGAAATTTTCAGGAGACTTCGAAATGTTGGTTCAGGGTTAGGTTCTTCACCGTCTAGGATATGGACCGCGAGCTTCATTCCACAGAGCGAACGCATGAATAATCTCTGCGTAATGCAAGGAAGCGGAGGAGATCCCTCGACTAGAAGTCTACTACCTTACACAGAAGGAGGTAAGTCCCCCGATAAACAGCCATTTGAGGCTTGGGAGTCGAATGAAGGCCGCACTTACAAATTACGGCGCTTGTCCGCCCAATAATGGCCCCTATGGCACCACCAAGCATCGACTATCCGTTGGACCCAGCCAAGTGAGAAATCTGCCTTTGTGCTCATTAAGCTGCCCAGAATGCCCTTCCTCAAGACGTGGCCAGCACTGGTGCTGCTCAGTGCTATTTCCTGCACTTCAGCTCAATCTTACGACTACGTAAGTCACAGTTCGCGTCGAATTTTCGGGAAAGTTCCTTGCATGTGCTTACAGAGAAGATAGATAATCGTAGGTGGCGGGACAGCGGGCTCAGCTCTGGCTACCCGCCTGAGTCTTGGTCTTCCAAATGCTTATGTCTTGCTTCTCGAAGCTGGCCCGTCTGCTCTAGACGAGCTCCGTATCAATGTACCTGGTCTGAGAGGGTCAATACTGGGGACGCAATATGACTGGAACTTCACTTCAGTTGGCCAGAGCGCTCTTGGTGGCCGTCAGATCCCCGTCAACCGCGGCAAGGTTCTGGGTGGCTCGTCAGCCATGAACTACCTTTGCTATGACCGCGCTGCTGCGGCCGAGTACGAGGCTTGGGGCGAGATGGGTAGCGGAGGCTGGTCGTGGGATGTCATGATCGAGGCCATGACCAAGTCGGAGAACTTTACGGGCTCCGACAAAGACCCTCGTGGTCGTTCTGGCCCCATCCGTAACACCTACAACCGTGTGGTGTATGATGTCCTCAACACATGGCAACCGGCCGGAACGGAGCTCGGTATTCCTATAAACGAGGAAGGTAACATGCACGGCAACCCCATTGGCATCATGTTCCAGGGCACCAACATCGACAATACCGACTATTCCCGGTCTTACAGCGCCAACAGCTATCTTCCACTTGCAGGGTCGAACCTCGAGGTGAGGACCAATGCCCAGGTCGTTAAGGTCAATCTTAACAAGACTCATGGCAACGATTACACTGCCACTGGTGTGACACTGGCCGATGGCACGGTTGTCAACGCTGTCAAAGAGGTCATCTTGTCTGCTGGTTCTATTCAAAGTCCTGGTCTGCTCGAGTTGTCTGGTATTGGTCAGACAGCTGTGCTCAAAGCCGCCGGTATTGAGCCGCTCATTGACTTGCCTGGCGTCGGTGAGAACTACCAAGACCATATCCGCACGTCCAACGTTTATCGTCTCAAGGATGAGTTCGACTCCTTCGATGCGCTCATCTTTGACTCCAGCGGTGCTAACGCCACCGCTGAGCTGCAAAAGTGGATCGATGGCGAGGTGTCTCTCTACGACTACACGACCGCGGCATACGGATTTCTGAATTGGGGGCAAATAAATCAATCGGCTCAGGCCGAGATCATTGCTCTTGCAGAGGCGGAGTTTGGCAACAGCACCAACCCCATTGACAAGAAGAAGCTCGAGTTCCTCACAGACGACTCCGTCCCGGACTATGAACTCATCTTTGACGCAAACTACGTGGGCGCGGCCGGATACCCTGGTTCCGGCAAGTTCATTACCATCTTCAGCACCGTTATGCATGCCCTCAGCCGGGGCAACGTGCACATTGATCCCGCGAACCCCACCGGCAAGCCCATCATCGACCCTAAGTTCCTTAGCAACGAGCACGACATCAAGGCCGCTGTCGAGGGCGCCAAGTTTGCGCGCAAGATTGCCGAGACGGGACCCCTCAAGGCCGTCTGGGAAGTTGAGACGGAGCCTGGCCCGGATGTTTTGACTGACGATCAGTTCCGTGAGTTTGCCGTCAACACGGTCACGAGTTTCTACCACCCAGTCGGAACCTGCTCTCTTCTTCCCAAGGCTGAGGGTGGTGTCGTCGATGCTGATCTGCGGGTTTATGGTACGCAGAATCTGCGAGTAGTCGACAACAGTATTGTGCCCGTTATCGTATCTGGCCACATCCAGACAGCTGCGTACGGTGTTGCTGAGGTGGCGGCTGCGAAGATCATTGCGAGTGCTATTTGATGGGACTTACATACTGTGCGGTTCCTACCTAGAAAGGAAAACTTACATACTTACTTTACTTGCTACCTTAATTTGAATGAATTCCGACGACGCAACTACATACGATCGCTGATGAAGCTCACTGTCTGTGAGACAGATCTGTAGATCTCTTCCTAATAGCTGCAGCCCTGTATGCCTTATACCGTAGCCCATTTAATCCTGGTGGAATAGAACCTCAAATGTTGAGTTCAAGTTTTCGTTTGAGCAGCCGCCGGAGTCGGAGCTGCGATAAGCTGACTCCGTTTCAGTTCTTCTATTCGTACTGTCAATATCTTCTCTGTGCTGACCGTAATCAAGGTGTTAAGGCCTGGAGACTCCGTAGGAGGGTATCGTTATGATAGCCCTCCAACATTCATGAATTGACTATCAAGTACTGCAGCTGCGAAACAGTGAAGACTGAGATCCCGCCTAACACCTCAAAGCCAGTACATGAGAAATGACTACCTCTGGGTCTCAAGTGAATAGCTTGCTAGTTTGGCAGCACAAAAGTGCTGAGACACCGGAGATGGACTTAGTCTCCGCTCCCGCCCCGATCTTTGTCGGCTCAACTACAAGATCCGTTGGAGCCTTCCACTGTGGCGTCCCCCGACGCAAGGCTTTAGGTTTGGCTCCTGTCCGACCAAGAGGACTGGTCCAGGCATTTTCCTTATTGAAGCAAAACGAATCTACCCCATGACCATGACCTCTCATTTTGCACCAAGATGTAAGACATCGATGTTCCATCTACCATTTCACATATAAGGTATACTGGGCACATCAGTCACTTGTGATCTTCACCACATAAGAACTGGAACGACAATCCTAATCATGGCAGACATGCTGGATATCACCAATCCCATACACTGGCTGACCGTTCTGGCCCCCTTCACCGCGGTCTTGCCGATTTTGTACATCCTTTACCAGATCATCCGGCCGAAGCCCATACCTGGCATTCCATTCAATAAACATGCCGCAAAGAGCATTTTCGGTGATATTCCCGACATCAAGAGAGAACCACCCGGTAACCTCCTCATTTGGATAGCAGCTCAGTCCCGTCGTCACAACAGCCCTATGTTCCAAGTCTGGCTGGGCCCTCTCACGATGGTTGGTCATTAGTTAAACTTTAAAGCTGACTTTTAAGTCTGACTAGTGACTAATTAGTCACCTCACCAGGTAGTCTGAACACCCTGCTCGCGTCCGGATTATCAGGCCCTGATCAGAAATTGCCATTTAAGTTTCAGACCATCAGCGGTTCTTTGCCTACTACAGCAACTGATGTCTTATCCCTTGCTATATCAGAGCTGAACTCTTGCCGGTGTCTGCTTCAATATGATGCATCCGGACATTCCATTTTACAACATAGCCCGACGCTTCCTTAGCATACTTTGGTGAGATCTGCCTAAACCGCAGACAGTGCAACGTGAGGCATTTTATACCAAGAATCGGCATGACGAAGAATAAGCCTGTCGTGACTGGGTCAGAGACTTCACATTTTGGAGTGTCAAATTGTAGGTATGTTTCTTGTGACCCAATTCCTTAAATAGAGGTAAAAACCCGCCTTCCTTGGTATTCTTCTCATACCTTACCTCTGAGACCATTCCAACATTTCTGCTATTTCTTTGCACCGATCACAATTTGAAATCACTCATTATGAAACTCACAGCGACGGTCCTGGCTCTCCACCTCCCCTCTCTGGGTCTGGCCTCAGTCTATAATGACTGGGCATTCTCAGAGGCACCTTCGGCTGGATTGAGCGATATAACTTTCCCTATGAGCATGGAAGGGGCACCTCGCAAGAGTGGTTTCTACTTTGCCCAGCAGTTCGGCTTTCACGGGGTTAATGATATTGGTTATACGGGGCTACAGCCGCGTCCCGACAACCAACGTAGACAGGTCGTCCATGCAGTCTTTTCCTCATTCCAGAAAGGAACGACTACCAAGCATAAGAACTGCTCCCCGGGCGCAGATGGTGGTGCCGGAGTTAGCTGCGCCCTTGACATTTTCGGCGACTATTCTCACGTCTACAATCTCACGGTGTGGAACACTGGCGGCACAACCTGGAGAGGAACTCTTCTCGACACCGTCACTGGAAAGTCTCATGTAATCGGCGAATGGACGCTCCCATCTTCCGCAGGCAAAATACTGAACGGAGAATCCGGTTTTTTTGAGTACTACAACTGGAACGATGGTAAACCCAGCCACGTTTGTTCTAAGCTTCCCTTCTCGCAAGTCTTCTTCGGCAACCCCACTTCAAAGACACAAGGAGCTAGTGGTGGCAACATTACCCGCGTTTATGAGGAAGGGGAATGTGTCGGAAAGCTCAACCTGAAGGCCACCCAGACTGGCAGAGGATATCGGATCCAAGCTGGTTTTAAGTAATCTCTTTCTATTGTAACTCGGAGCTTTATAAGAAGGGTTTCTCCATCGTCTCCTCCGATTCTCCCCTGTTTATGCAGCGTTCCACGCATATCAAGTGTTGTAGTAAACTCTGAATTCCACTCTAAACATTGGCTCTCACCGCACTCAAATCAACAGGAAATTTAAACTAGAGCTCCTTTTCAAAATGGCTAGATAATTCTAACCGAGAAGGGTTTGTAGCTCTGGGTTAAACGTACTGATAAACTGCTATCACATTCCCTACTCCCAGATACTCCGTCGGTGGTTCGCACGGCGCCCTGAGAATCCCTTCTGATAGACGGTACTACGTGGTCGGCCGTGAGTTCGTGGCTGAATTTTCAAATGATAAAGTCACACTGCCTTGTTTTATCGACCTGAGCAACGCTGCAGTCGGCAGAAAACATTGGCAGCGTAGCAATGACCGGGTTTCCGAAGCTTGCATGGTCAGTCATTGGGCTGAGACCAAGCGTATGTCGGGGAAGAGCGGTGCGAGACGATTTCCTCGTTGATCAGGTTCTGCAGACATCGGACAGATTCAAAACACAACTTCGGGATGTTGACAATGAGGACAAACACGTTAAGTCTGCAATTGACTTGATGGTACAAAGGCTGAACAGTGTCATGGAGAAGGAAGGCCAACTTCTCCCTGACTGGATCGAAACCATGAGAGCTGAGGGAAGACGAATTTGAAGGAACGACGCTAGATAACTTACTGACCTAATATTGTCTTAGTCTGCCGGCTTTGTTGTTGCTAGACATGATACGACGAACACAACCCTCTGTTGGGGCATCAAGTTCATCGCGGATGACCAAGCAGTTCAGCAGAGACTTTCTGAAAGCATTCGGAGCTTTCACACCGCAGCAAGTAGTGAGGGTGGTCTTCCTACCCACTCTGAGATTTGCGAAGCAAACATACCGTACCTAGACGCAGTTATTGAGGAGATGCTTCGGCTTGCTCATACAGCAACCAGTCAAGATCGAGAGTGCAAAGAAGATACAGTCATCTTGGGCCATGTCATCCCCAAGGGTACCACCGTCATCGTCCCAAACCGGGGTCCAAGCTTTACTGAGCCGGGATATGAGATCGAGGAACGCCTGCGGAGCCCATCTTCGAGAAAAGCAGCCACCGATTTTAGTTCCAGGGTCTAGGACTCCCAGGAGATGGGAAAGTCAAGCCGGATCGTTGGCTTGTACGAGATGAGAAGGGTAATGATGAATATGATGGTTCTGCAGGGCCGACCTTGCCCTTCGGCCTTGGACTTCGCGGTTGCTTCGGACGAAAGCCGGCATACATGGAAATGAAGCTTTTGATCACTCTCTTGATCTGGTCATTCGAGTTCCAAGAGTGCCCAGAGAATTTGTCGAGTTATGAAAGTATTACAAGCCTTACACGGAAGCCTGTACAGTGTTACGTGCGCTTGAAGATTCGCTTAGATTATTGTACGCTATTGTATGTATTAGTACTTTGTTCAAGCACATAAACACCAATGCTACTCATCACATCATCTCGTTCTTGCGATTGGGTCAGTGCCTGGCAGGCTTATTAATACTTAACCATCCAACATTTTTTTCGACCTTAATTACCCTCGGCAACTTGCGTCACAAATATTTCAACATGGCGGCAGAACGGTGGTATTCAACATACACAAAGATTCAATAATGTATTGTGCTAAAAGAATGGACTTCATCAACTTACTCAGAGATGAATTCAATGAGATACACGTAGTACTGCTAAAGTGTCAGCGGTCGTGAATCCGAGTAGTGAGCTTGATTTCGGCGTTAGAGAAACACCCTGGATCCGTCTTTATCCGAGTTCAACAGCCGCTCTCCGATGCCGGTCACAGCTGCCGCTTTTGCCGTTAATCCACCCCGGCACTGCAACACCAGAGTACTGAACTTGGAAACCTTGATCTACAATTACAACAGAATTGCACCGTGATCTTGATGGATCATGCTTCGGAAAAATGACCAAGGACGAGTTATTGCATACTCGACCGCCCGTGGTTGAGCCGTTCTCGGTCGGGCTTCGGGAAGACGACGAATTTAATGATGGGCGCCCGATCCCGGAACGATCGTCAACAGAACCTGGAAACGCGGTCCAAAAATCGCCAGCTACTGATGGAGGAATGGTAGCTTGGCTCCAAGTTTCGTCGGCTTTCGCACTCTACTGGAATAGTCTGTAAGTCTTCGTCTCATATCCGGGAGGCTTTGTCCCTTCTCTTTACCTCAATTGTGCTCGACTAACGCCTCTCGATGCAGGGGTCTGCTCAACGGCTTTGGTGCTTTCCAGACATACTATGAAACTACACTGCTCAAAAGCGATTCATCTTCAGCTATTGCATGGATTGGCTCAGTCCAAGTCTTCTTTCTCATGGCTGGTGGTGTCATATTTGGCCCGCTCTATGATCTCGGCTACGCTCGATCCATGTTATTGACAGGGACATTTCTCGTCGTCTTTGGCTTCATGATGACCAGCATCAGCACGCAGTACTATCAGTTCTTACTTGCGCAGGGCTTCTGTGTTGGTATTGGCTCTAGCTGCCTGTATATCGTCGCCATCACCTTGGTTCCCCCCTACTTCACAGCCCGAAGGGCGTTGGCAATGGGGGTGGCAACCGTTGGAAGCAGTCTGGGAGCGACCATTTATCCTCTCATTTTTGAGAGCTTGCAGCCTCGAATAGGCTTTCCGTGGACCGTCCGAGTGATAGGTTTCGTCACTTTAGCCATGTCTTGCTATGCCGTGATTGTGGCACGACCTCGGACCAAGGGTGCTAAAACCCTGATAACAAAGAATAACTCGCTGAAAGAAATCGCCGAAATCGCTGGCCTTCTGGATGTTCGATATATGGTTCAATGCGTTGCTATCTTCTTCAGCAATCTCGCATTCTTCCAGCCTCTCTACTACATTCAAAGCTACGCACAATCGCACGGAATGGAGGGCGCGGCTCTAGCCAAATATTTACTTGTGATACTCAACGCAGTCGGTATCCCTGGACGTATTTTGCCTTCCCTGATTGCCGACAGATTTGGTGTGCTGAATACCTATATTGGAATTTGTACCATGACCGCCATAACCGTTTTCTACTGGATCAGCGTGAATAACACTGCGGGCAACGTGGCGTTTGCAGTTCTGTATGGCTTCTTCTGCGCGAGTGTCGTCACTCTGGCTCCGGTCGTTCTAGCAAGCATAACTGATGATCTTGGCATCCTGGGAACGAGACTTGGTTTTGTTGCTGTGCTCAAAGGAATCGGTTCACTCATTGGGCCGCCAATTGCTGGCGCTATTTTGGGATTGACTGGAAGCTATCTCGGTGTTCAGCTATTCACTGGTCTGGCAATGTCACTCACAGTTGTTTTTGCGGCATATCTGAGAGTATTGATATTTGGAAGGAAAGTCGACAAGTCTACCGACTGACATACCATGTTCGGAGACAGATAAAGCAAGACAATAGACTTCCAGGCTTCTCGCCCACCTGTCCACTGACTCAAGTGCTATCTCTTAGATGTAGTTAATATAATAAGTGAGATCTCTAGCCTCTTGATGTTAATCAAAATGCCATCACTCAAATGTCTACACTGTCTATGTCATCCTTACCTTTTGGCCTACACTATTTCATGTTTGCCTAGTCTTTCTGAGTGAACTCAAGAGGGCTGGGCTTAGTGGAGGATGTTATACAAAGAACGCACATTCACAAATAACATGAGGCAACTAGAAGCCCTATTTCAGAGCATGGCACAGCTAACTTTATGGCAAGAATGGTCATTGTTGAAGTTCAAGATGCCGCCGTAGCAAAATTCTCTAAGCTCGGATCATCAGCTTGGGAGTGCAGATATAGTGCCCGATGCAGCATGGCAAGCCCAAACCCTTCATGGACAGCTATTAAATTCACATCGAGAAACCCCAGCTTTACACAAGATCAGCCCCGTAACAGGTAGACGAGCAAACCTTACGGAAAGGACACAAGGCCACCCCAGACGGCCAAGGCGAGCAGCCTTGAACTGCATACTAGGCAGCATCTTGGTCTCTCAACCTCCACAGGGTTTTGAAGACTGGCAACGGCACGCAGTACCGCTAGTGCAACGAGATCAGGGCGCTATGCTCCTTGCCATGCGTGCAACCCCTCCATGGATCACGGCCACACTTCTTCCTCCAAGGCAAGGTACCCGGGCGGATGGGTGTGTAGTTGGCGAGTGCCCATTTAGCTGCCTGGGTGAAGAAAGGTAAGAGGAGTGCGAAGTAATATGGAGTGAGGGCTTCCAAATGAAGACCTTTGAGGCATTTTGACTTTACCGAAAGGTTAGTTCGCATATCGGTTATTCAAGTTCGATTGCACCCTATGCCCAACTTGGCCACTCGCTGGCCTCTTCCAAGCGGCAGAGAAGAAGCCCGCCTGCCAGTACAGTCGTTCTCAGAAGCCCGCGATTGAGGATGTCGCGCAAATTATCGATCCGCACATTAGCGAAGCCGAGAGAACGGTCCCAGGACCGCGGATCCAATTAAGCCACCCACACTCTGGGTGTTCTGGAGGGTGGCACCCCGGTCTTCTTCCAGGAAAGATGTTCCGTTAGCGCCGCCCTGTGGGTTCTCCGGTCACAAGATTAGCATCAAAGGTCCTCCTGCACCAGAGCCCGATGCGTACTGGTTGGCGGAAAGCCTTGCCGCGGAAAGCCTGTCGTCTCTGTGCGGTATGCCGGAACCCCGGACAAGACATGAGAAGAAGTTGGGTGTCATGCAGCAGCCAGTCTCCAGATCGGAATCTAGGGGAAAACATTTGGTAACATGCTGCATTGTGTCTTCTTCCGCTTATGGGAGAGTCAGTGCTGGGGCTGCATCTTCACATTTTCGTTCATAGCGAGACGGACTCGGTATGACCAGGCGTGGGGACTCGGCACCCGACCTTATCGAGACTCTTTCCTCTGTTGGTCTCTTCTTCGGCTATTAGGGCTGCCTTTGATTCTCCATCTCAGTCTGTTCATAGGTGCTGCGCCGTGTCACGGCATCTCACTACCCCAGAGGCGCCGAGATGTGTCGGGTTGTCGGTGCGGATCTTGCAGCGGCAACTTTCCCTCCTGGGCTTTCGTCTACTTGGCATGAATCCCAGCTTGAAAAGGTATACACTATACAACTGCTGATAATGGCTAAGGTAGAACGCCTTACAACGAGTCGGAAACTTGAAACTCAGCTTGCACTTAGTCCAATTTCAACTCGCTTGCGAGTGCCATTGAAGGATCAGCAAAATCAGTGATTAATCACGCATCCTGCCTGTGTGACCCAGGGTATCAGCTGTCCGTGAGGATCCACGCACCGCTATTTAAAATTCCGTTTGTGTTGCCGGCAAGATGGAGATGCAATACCATCGGCTGAAGCCCACGATTTGCTATCGCTAACCCATCTATCGTCCTGAGGTAGCTGACTCTTATCAATTCCATCATGTTTACTGCTTCGAAATAGATCGACATGAGTACGGTCATGGCCATCTACACGCTCGCATGCTGTCGAGGTACCACGGGCTATGTCAGCCATAATGATCCTGCTATTCTTCCTGTCAGATGAGCGAAAAAAAAAATTGTCCACTAGGCTTCCCCGAATAGCGAATATTGGCACATTGATCAATGTGGATCGCGGAACACGTTCGAGGCTGCTGATGCGGTTGACCCGGCCGACCGGACGGCGCTCTAGACTCTAGAGTACTCACCAGCGGCGCAGCATGGATAGCGGCTTTCGGATCCGTGACCCTGTTGACAGATCACGGGCGAGCTTCTCACACCGACCATAAATCTTCACCCCAAGCCTATTGGGAGACTGTACGGTGGCGTTGGATCACGGCCCGCTCAACGCATCAAGAAGCCCAGTTTGAGGATACGCACTGCAGTTGTGGCTGAAATCTGTGACCATTCGTCGAATAAAGTCTTCCTGATGCAGGATCAAGGTTGAGAGTTGGCTATAGCGACTGATGTGAGTAGACGCGGGGGCTAGTGAGGAACAATGGACTGACTGGTAGACTAGGATGATAGGCACATGAGATCCGCACCGATGGGTCGCGTGCGCCCATGTGCCTCGCTCTCCGCCGTGGGTCATGATTCCACCACTCAGTGTGGATCATCGAGAAGACGTAGGAACCGGCTCTCATACGCTGGAATTCAGGAGGAGGAATGGGCTTCCATTGCCGGAGGCTTGCAGCCGTGGAGGACCGATTGAAGGAGCCGACGCTGAATGGTTGTCCTTCGTCTGCGTGAGTACGGAGGCAAGCGTGTACATGTCCGTCCGCTTCCCAGAGTCGAGTTCAGAAAGCATGATACTCCAATTTCTCCATCCCGAGCCAACGGCGCAACATCCAAAGTCCAATATGAGAATAGAACGGCTCCAAGATGACAAGGGTGGGTGGGCCGGCGATCGCAGGGACTGGGTGCTTTAGCTCCGAGTCTGAGTCTAGAGGCGTTTCCCGGCCTGGGCTGCCACATTGAGGCAGATTTTAGCGCGGAGGAAGGCGGCCCGTCTACCAGATAGGAATAGCGTCCTGTCGAGAGAATGGGGAGAAGACTCGGAGGGCGCCAGAAAGTGCAGATGGAGCATTTGTCAAGTCAATTATGATCCTTTCCGCAGTTTCCTCTGTTTTCAAGGAATGCTGAACTATGGAAAGTAACTAAGATGGGAATACATGTGTCCGTGAGCTTGGTTGGTTTAGACTGATTTCACGCAGTAGTCTGGTTCAAAACTGTAGCCCCATCTGGTGAGTTTGCTAACAAGCGTGTACGGAGTAAGAAGTCGGGACCTTTCGCTATTGCGAAATACTTTAGCTGTCTTACAAGGTAAAGGCATGAAATGAGTATCGGTCCTTAGTAAGGTACATCCCTGGCGTGAGCACGAAAACCACGACAGGGGGTGGGTGAGCACTCAGCAAAGCCCAGGACAGTCCCCCCAAGGACTGAGTCCTCTGTCGCTTCAATGATTCCCAGTCTGCAGAGACAGCAAACGAAAGTCGACAGGTGTTGCTCTCAGACCACATGGAACGACGGCCCGGCTAGAGTCGACTGTGAATCCTCTCATTCTGAGCTATTGTGACCCAGTTGGGTTTGGCGCACCTTTCTCCAGATCTCCCCTCCAGTTTTTCTTCCCCATCTAAACCCTCTCCAGCCAACCCAGACGCCACAGAACGCGTTAGAGTGCGACGGGCTCGTGTGTCTTCGGCTGCGTGGTCTCAGGGACCCGGGCGGGCGCCCCATGGACTATCCGTATTGCTGGTGGGCAACCGAGGAACCTGAATTGGCTCACAATGATTCGATCTCGAAAGAAGTTGTCGCCTACGACAACAATGATATCTCCGATTAGACAACTGGGCAAGTCCCGAATAGGTCACCTTACGCTCGACTCAACAGACCAACCCGGTCGACTCGAGGCAAGACGGCCAGCATCTCCACAAGCCCACACACTCTGCCCCAGATTCAGCAAAACCTTTTTTGACGTTTTCTCCAGCGCCCCATCGAACCGGTAGCAAGGCAGCATAGCATCCGCAAACATCCTGGCAAGGGTACGGAGCCTGTCGACCCGCTGATCCGGGGAGGGTGAAAGCAGAAGAGGCCGGCCAGGACAAGAGACTTGACGCTTCTGCTCCTCCGCCTGACAACGTTGGTGACCATAATCGAAACCCAACGCACACATCGTCAACGCCAGACACTAGCCAAGCTGGCCTATCTCGTCTGCCGGCCCGTTTCGTCTCGTCTACTGGGACGGGCTTCTAGGTTGACACGCCTTCATTAGCGTTCCTTCGCCTGGCCCTGCATACCATGTTCAGAAGAACTCGGCACGGACGAAGCATTGTTGGAGAGTAATTGGGGGTTTCCCTCCGCACTAAGGCAGACAGACAGGCTAGAACCATAAGCCGCCCCCAAGGTTTGCTTAACGAACCGCCCGGACGCCTCTCATCTCATTCACATTGATTGCGATGCAGCCATCACGGGACCGAGAAAACGAGTAGCTGGTACCCGCCAAGCAGTGTCACACCCTGAGACGAAATCTTCAAGGTTAGAAGACGAACATGGTGAGCTTGACCTGACAGCTCAAGGCGAATTTCGGCGTCTACGTTCGGGCAACGCCTCTTCGCATGTCCTGTGCCCACAAGTCGGATGCTGGACTAGGTAGCCGGTCGCTCAAGTGGCAACCCAGCATCCGCAGGTGTTGCTTGAGAATTCTGAAAGGACAAGGGTTTGGTAGGGGGTGCGTGAACGAGGGTGGTGCAACCAACGATCTGCCCAGCCAGTACAAGCAAAACCCAAGGACCATTCGCCCTAGTCCAGCCGCCTTTTCGGTCCCATGTGGGAATGGGCCGTCCTTCCACCCCATGCAAGGGTGGTAGGCTCGAAACGGCCGAACTAATTGATGGGCAATTGAAGGTTGGGGTTCGTTCCTACCAAGAACCGCTTCCTCTCCATCGGAATCTTACTCCTCATCCCCGTCGCAGGTGATTTCCAAGGCCGAAAATCATAAAACCTCGGCGTGTCCCCGCGATCCCTGGCCTGCTCTGTCTTGAGCTTTCCATCCTCAACCCTCCCCTCATCCACTTTCCCGCCTCCAAGATCCATTACACACAGCTTGGTCTGTGGTGATCGGCCATCTCAGCTTACTCCCTCTCCGCCAACAACAAAGGGAACTTGCGCCTCGGCCGCGTGCCGCCCACAGTCAGCATGTCCGAGAAGATTGATACCGTGGACACTGTCCACGCCCACGACCATGACTCCGACAAGGCAAGTCGCAGTGACTTTTACCGTCGAGCCCCGCACAACTGATTTAGGAAGCAGCAGCTAACATGTCTTGATGTTGCAGAAGGAAATCCAGACCAAGGTCGTCAGGGGTAGCGAGGCTTTCAACGAGGCCATGATCAAGGAGCCCCCTAGTGCCTGGACCAAAGCCCAGCTGATGATCTACGCCTTCTCCCTCATCGGTTTCTTCTGTTCCACCATGAACGGTTATGACGGTTCCTTGATCAACAACCTGCTTCAGAACCCTTCTTTCAAGGAGCGTTATGGCGCCAAGAATGACGGTATTTGGGCTGGTATTATCTCTTCCATGTACCAGATTGGTGGTGTTGTGGCTCTTCCCTTCGTCGGTCCCGCCCTCGACACCTGGGGTCGCAGAATCGGCATGTTCATCGGTGCAGCCATTATCATTATCGGTACCTGCATCCAGGCAACTGCCAATGGCACTAGCCAATTCATGGGAGGTCGATTCCTGCTTGGTTTCGGTGTCTCCATCGCCGCATCCGCCGGACCCATGTACGTCGTCGAGATCAACCACCCGGTAAGTAACAACCTCAACTCATCGAACAAGATGAAGAATCTTGTGTTAACGACTCTTCAAGGCCTACCGCGGAGTCGTTGGAGCGCTATACAATACACTTTGGTTTTCTGGAGCTATCATTGCTTCTGGTGCAGCTCGCGGAGCCCTGGACATCGATGGTGATGCCTCATGGCGCCTCATCACCTGGCTTCAGGCTCTCTTCTCCGGACTCATTGTTATCTTCTGCATGTTCATGCCAGAGTCTCCCAGATGGCTATTCGTCAACAATAAGAAGGAGAAGGCTGCCGAAGTACTCGCCAAGTACCACGGGAATGGCAACCCCGACTCTCCATGGGTCAAGCTCCAGCTACACGAGTATGAAGAGCTCCTCAACATGGACGGTGCCGACAAGCGCTGGTGGGATTACCGTGCGCTGTTCCGCAACCGCGCTTCCGTCTACCGTCTCTCCTGCAACGTCTGTATCTCGATCTTCGGTCAGTGGGCCGGCAACGCTGTTCTGTCGTATTTCCTCGGATCCGTTCTCGACACCGCCGGCTACACCCACCCCATCCAGCAAGCCAACATCACCCTCATCAACTCTTGCCAGCAGTTCCTGTGCGCCATTTGCGGTGCTTTGCTTGTTGATAGAGTCGGTCGTCGTCCCCTACTGCTCTTCTCTTTCACCGCTTGCACAATTGTTTGGCTCGGCATGACTGTCGCCTCAGGTATCTTGTCCAAGTCTCAGGTCGGTGAAACGGACAGTGGTGCCCCCATCTTCGACAACCCGGCCGCGTCCCAGGCTTGCTTGGCCATGATCTTCATCTTCGGTTCCGTCTACTCGGTCGGTATCACGCCACTCCAGGCTCTGTACCCCGTCGAGGTGCTCTCCTTCGAGATGCGCGCCAAGGGTATGGCCTTCTCCAACTTGGCTGTCAACGCCGCCGGTCTCCTGAACCAGTTCGCTTGGCCCGTCTCCATGGAGAAGATTGCCTGGAAGACTTACATCATCTTCACCATCTGGGACGCAGTCCAGACCGCTGTCATCTACGTCTTCATTCCCGAGACTAAGGGCCGCACCGTAAGTATTCAGATTAAGTCTAGTGACCTTTTCAAAGCATGTGCTGACTCATCTGAAACAGCTCGAGGAACTCGATCACATCTTCGCTGCCGACAAGCCAGTCAAGGCTTCCATCCAGAAGAAGGAGGTCGCTGTCGATCGCTACGGCGACGTTGTCAACGTCCAGGACGTCTAAACGCTTCAGCAACCTTACGATATCAATCAAATTACATGCGCGAGCGAGCTAGTTGGGGAACTGTGTTTTGTCGGGGAGTAAAGAATTAATGATGCGAGGACACGGAAACAGCGGGGTCGTGTCACCTACTTTTGCATGGTTGGCGAGGTTTTATGTTCTGGGGTCGCTTTACGGCGGCTGTTGAATATGGGCCACCCTATCGCAAGCCTTTGTTATCTTCTATACCTATTATACCACCTTTTATCCACTGCAAAACTAAACTTGGTGATCTGTTGTTAATGCTTTTGTCTGGAAATATGGAATCCTCCTATTCGCGGTTCTATCTCAGCATCTATTTCTTCGCGTTTATGCTCTTGAGAAGAGAGAAGCGGATATCACGGTGAATACGAGACCGTATTCCTGCTCACAGTGGATGTACTTAGAGCTGGATTGCATTCTAGATAGCATGTAAACCATTCAAACCCGTATCTAGCCGTTGGAATTTAGGATCGAACCTCGTTATTTGAGTGATACTATTTTGCTGCTTTAGTTGAAGGTATAGTGTCCTAGGCGTTTGTTGGGGATTCTCAGCAAGAGTATCACCGACTACCGAATCTTTGCCCTCGCCTACGACTCAAGGACATGGCTTCTAACAAGCTATCAAAGTCACGATACCGTAACTAGTATTACTGCCTCGACTATTGTCAGCACAAAACTCACCAAGACTAGCTGGCCGTAAGCCAAGTCGGCGAGTTTGGGAATGTAGCAAGCGGGCTCGAGTGACAAGAAATCAATTAGATCTAAAATGATATCTTATTCTTTAAAAGAAACGCTTCAGCCTACAGCACGTGATTCTTGATCAAAGCTCATTCTGTAAGAAAGTTATATTAATGTTAAATTCATAAGAACGCAACCCTTATTCTTTATACGTACTACTTCACTCAAGATCCCGTATCTATAGTAGGGCCCAGGGCTTCGAATAAGTCCACCTCATCCGCAGACCAAGTCAAGAAACCGCCCATGGGGCCGTCCGAAGGAAAGTATTCTTCGAGGTCTGTAAACGTCCCTGGTAATCTGTAGTCTGAGGACGGAACTTGTCCGTCGAGTCCCGAACACCCAATTAGGCTTCTCTCTGCCCTACTAAGAGATTCCGCAAAAGCCTTGGGAGTCATGAGAAAACATTTCTTAAATTGCCGGTGGAGGTGCGCGCTTGCCACGCCCAGCTTCCGCGCCAGGCCTCCTACGGTCCACTTGAGGCTGTCGGCCTCGGCGGCTGCAATCATAGCGCGCGCCTGATGTGCAATCTTGCGACTGCTGCTGTCTCTGCTCCAGTCGTCATTACATGGCTCGCATCGCTTGCAGGGTCGGTATCCGGATTGCGAGGCATGTTGCAGGTCGTTGAAAAAGATGATATTTCCTCGTCGGGCGACACGACCGGGGCACGTTGGCCGGCAAAAGATTTGGGTCGATTTGACACCGTAGAAGAAAGACGAATTAGCAGAGAGATCTCGACGAGAGACGAGAAGCCACCGGGCAGAATCGACGGTCTTGTTGGATTGAGAGGCCATCGACGGGAAGGTTGATGATAATGGTCCAGGCCATGGGGAAAAGATGAAGAGAGGTTTGACGTCGAGATTTGGCTTGGCTCGTCAATAACCCGTCTGAACCCGATTTGGGCTCTTACTAGCTCAAGCACATGATTGGCTGGTTCAAGATCATCTTTCACAGGAACGATTTGATTGGTCAGTTCGAGATCACAACCCTTTCACTGTCGGAACGGTGTTCTTCGCATATACATGCGTTGTACTTTCCGTCAAACCGGACGAATTATGATTTTGCAACACAGATTAAGAGTCAACAAAGTTCTAGCATCACAGAGTTCTCAACCCTCTCCACGAGCTTAATATCCAAGAAGACCATGGACAGTCCCGCTGCTGCCAACGTGTTCGGCACCCTTGGGGCAGTGCTTTGGTCGCTTCAGGTAGAAACCAACTTTTCTGTTTGTAGTCTTTTCAAAATATCTTTACTGAAATTCATTCAAGCTCTTGCCTCAAATTTGGAAAAACTGGCGTCGGCACGACACCCAGTCCCTGTCGTCGACGTTTTTCCTCTCATGGGCTGTCGCTGGGGTCCCCCTCGGCGTATACAATATCGCCGACGATTTTAACACTGCCCTCCAGATACAGCCCAATATCTTGATTTTCCTCAGTCTATGGACCTGGTTTCAGTGCAAATATTATGGCGACAAATGGGGCACACGGAAAATAGTGGCTAGCGTCATCGGCATAGCCATTGTTCTGGCCGGTGCTGAGGTTGGCCTTGTTTACGCACTCAAATTGGCACGCGAACGCGGGCACACGTGGCCATCAATTCTCATGGCTATTGTAGCTGCGATTCTTTTGGCTGGTGGCGTACTCCGACATTACCTTCAGATGTTGAAGACTCGATCGGACGCGGGCTTGTCCCTCAAGTTCGCAACATTGGATCTGAGCGGGGATGTTGCATCGCTTCTATCTGTGATCTTTCAGAAGACACTCAAAATCTACGGAATCGTTATATATGGATCGGAGTTAGCAATATGGGTCGGTCTGATAGGCCTAGCTATCCATTATCGCCGTGTCAGCAATGGCGATTTTAACAAAGGACCCGAGGTGGACGCGGTGGTGTTGGGCAGAGGGGAGATTCGGGCAGCAGGCCGCAACGAAGAGAATCAGAGTGTTTAGAACTGCTCACAAGGCTCTCATTAGCTTGGATGTCTGAGCAGAGTCTCCCCAGCCAATGAACTGCGCACTAGTTCTGGAGACATTAAGGTCGGGACGTGATTGTTGTATTCCTGCGAAAACTTTGCACGAAAATGTTCGCTAAGAGCAATTTGAACTAAGTGGTGTAAGTATTAGCGGTTGATTAGATGCGTAGATGCAACCATTTGCACCTTTCCTAGCAGGTTAGCAGTATAAAATTTCAGATTGTAAAGTGGTGCTTCGTCCACTTGCTGCGACCATCTGTGCTAATGCTTTAGTCTCGCGTCATTGAGCCTATGCATTGCCGCTGGCAATTAAAGGCTGGCGACAGTTCTGTTTCCCAAGCGTCTACGATAGGTGCTGTTTACTAACCCAGCCGCATTGAACACATACTCAGCGAGCCTAAACAAGGCTAACACGGTTCAAATTGACCTAGTTTTGCCGCGCCTTCTAAGCTTGGAAATACGGCGCATGCGTACTAAGTACGTTCTGCAATCAAACCGTAGCGCAGGCAAGCTTTATTGAGTCATCCCGAATTAAACATTTCAAAGTCTAAAGACAGCAATGCTGTCTGAGGCAAAATAGTTGTCATGATAGCGTTTGATTGCAGATCCCCTTAAAGTCTGCCGAGCGGGTTCATAATCCATGACGTCCAACAAGGCAGGGGACAGGCCTTGGCCAGCCCCATCTCAGATCGAAGTTTGTGCTTTTCGGGAAGGTCAAACATCGAACTTTGAACAATGAGTTCGTATCGTCGAATGGGGCGCCAGGACCGATCAGGTAGGTAGCATTCGGACACGCAAAGACGCAATCGAGTCCCTGGACCCCTCGTACGACGCTGCGGCACCCACGGACTGAGATTGCGATGATCGGCAACGACACGGACAGCACAAATATGGCCGGGGGCGCGACTTGTTGGCGCGAATTCTGTACGGTCCGCAGCTGCCTTCATTCAAGTTGATCTTCTTTCTCATTTCAAGGTCAAACGGGACACGATGGCGCCGTCTTGGCTAACAGTTGGCTTCCTCGGCTTCATCCGGGTCACCGCAGCTCTGGGACCGCAGCTTAGCCCGGCTCAGATGTGGAGGGAGTTCCATCTCCAACCCGAGCTCGAACCCGCTGCCGAAGGAGCTGCAGGCCCCGAGGTCGTCCGATTATTCGCCAATGACAGTGCCCCCGGCGCGCCGGATCCGTCCACTCTCTACCGGCCTTTCAACTTTTCGGTTCCCATTGACCACTTCCACAATGATTCCATGTACGAGCCGCACTCGAATGGCAGCTTTCCTCTCCGATACTGGTACGACGACCGGTTTTACAAGCCTGGAGGCCCTGTCATCGCCCTGGCAGCGGGTGAAACCAGCGGCGCGGGCCGCTTGCCTTTCTTGCAAAAGGGTATCGTTGCCATCCTGGCGGAAGCAACCAACGGAGTCGGCGTCATCTTGGAACATCGGTACTACGGCCGCAGCTATCCCACCCCAGACTTCAGCACGGAAAACCTGCGATTCCTTACGACTGATCAAGCCTTGGCGGACACTGCTTACTTTGCCAAGAACATTGTCTTCCCCGGCAAACTGGCAGAAGTTAATCTGACGGCACCGGAAACACCGTGGATCGTGTACGGAGGCTCGTATGCCGGCGCCTTCGTCGCGTTTCTGCGTAAACTGTACCCTGAAGTCTTCTGGGGCGCGATCTCTTCTTCTGGAGTCACTGCCGCCGTGGTTGACTTTTGGGAATACTATGAAGCCGCGAGACGTTTCGCCCCCGAGGGATGCGCAGAGACGACGCAGAAACTGATGCACATGGTGGACAACATCTTGATGCAGAAGGGCAACACGACTGAGGAGGACATCGTGACACTAAAGACCGCCTTCGGACTCCCTAACGTGACTGCGAGCGTCGACTTTGCGAGCGCGATTGGGGGCGGCATTGCAGGGCTACAGGGTCGAAACTGGGACCCAGCCCTTGACAGCGACGATTTCCTTCTCTACTGTGGCAACATGACCTCCGACGAACTGGTGTGGCCCGCAACGGATAGCCTTGACTCTAGTGCTCGCTACCTACTTGAGGTTGGCGGCTATGAGTCAGAAGTCACGGAGTTGGCCCCTCGACTCAAGAACTACATTGGCTACGTCAACTACACATCGTCCTGGTGCGACTCGGAGAACCAAGACGACTGCTTCGGACCCGGAAGTGATGATGCGTATGCCGCGGATGATCTCAGCGCGTCCTGGCGTCTGTGGGCCTACCAGTATTGTTCTCAGTAAGTAATCGAACTCAGAATTATTGTGGCCAAACTCTGACACTTGTGTTTAGATGGGGCTACCTCCAGACCGGCTCCGGCGTTCCGGAAGACCAGCTTCCTTTGATCTCTCGCCTGATTGACATCGAATACTCCACAGTCATCTGTCGCAAGGCTTTCAACATTACCTCGCTACCTGACGTTGAAGCCATCAATAAGTACGGTGGTTATAACTTCAGCTACCCTCGCGTAGCCATCATTGATGGCGAATCTGACCCGTGGCGATCTGCGACTCCTAACAAGATCGGGCTTCCGCGGCCAGAGTCGACCACCGAGGAGCCCAACTTGGTCATCACAGGCGGAGCAGTTCACCACTGGGACGAGAATGGCATTTTCAAGAACGAGACAACGGCTGACCTCCCACCATTGCCTGTCAAAGAGGCCCAGAGCTTCGAGGTGGAGTTTGTACAAGCCTGGCTTAAGGAGTTTGCTGCGACAAGAAAGTAGACAGTATTACTGAAGATAATTTTGCGCTACAAAGAGCTCTCAATAACGAAGTATGTACGTGGGACAAAATAGCCCATCGGACGCTACGTAGAAAACATAACATCATTACTACTGAGCATATTCTGGATAATATATGACTGTGGCTACTGGCGTAGGCCTCTCATAACTTTTTTGCAGCCTCAATAATGATTTCAGCAGCTCTCTCCGCAATTCCATATATTGCAGTCTGAATATGCGCTGAAATTAGGACTGGCATGATACTTGCGTCTACGACTCTGAGGTTCTCCGCTCCGTAGACCTTTAGTGACGGGTCAACGACGCCGCCATCTTCCTTCGGGAGCATTGCGCAGGAGCCGACTGGGTGATAGATGGACAAGGTGGTCCTGAGAGCAAAGTCCCGCCACTGTGCGTCTGTCGTGGTATTCAAGCCTGGCTCATACTCCGAAACCCACGTGGATCTGAGAGGTTCGGTGAGAGCGACCTGACGACACTTTTTGATGGCTTGGATGGCTGCTTGCAAGTCGTATTCGTTTGAAAGATAATTCGGGTCGATGAGAGGTGGTCCCAAGGGGTCGGCAGGGTTGACGTGGACATGCCCTCGGCTCAGTGGGTGCATAATGGCCGCGATGAGCGTGAAGTAGTCTTTGCCGTAACCTGGACTTCCTGAAGCAGGATACCCCTTGACGCCGGTATATCCGTCGCTGAAAAGAATTTCCAGTTGAGGTACCGTCGTATCGTTGAGCCATTGGAGTTTTTTCTTCTCGACCGGGTTGTTGGTATCCCCAATCGCCGTCTGAGCAAGGGCAGCAAGCGCTGCCTCTCCATCGTCACCGAGAGCTTGGTTCCAGTTGGTGAACGTGTATCCACTCCCAGAGTATCCGTACATTGAAGTCTTGCCTTGCCGCCAGAGCTGGAGCTGCTCAGCAGCATAGACTGTGTCGTACTTGAGACGGTCGTATCCAGTGTAGTTGCTCTTCAGTTCGTACGAGCTCTGGATGCGGATGTGATCCTGGAGGTTTTCACCTACTCCTGGAAGGTCAATAATCTGACTAATACCAGCAGCAGAGAGAACATCCGCCTTGCCAATGCCGGAGTTTTCCAGAATAGAGGGGCTTAGTAAACCTCCACCGGAAACGATAACCTCGCGACCAGCAGTTAGGACCGTTCCGTCGACAAGAGTCACGCCGGTAGCACGCTGGCTGCCATGGCAGGTAGTCTTCAAATTGACTTTAGCGACCTTTGAATCTGTCAAAAAGAAGTGGTTTGGACCGGCTAAGGGCAGGTAGGAGTTTGCGCTGTAGGATCGGTTGTAGTGTGTCGGCTCGATGCTGTTGGGCGAGTACAGAACGCCCAGAACGTTGCCGTTCAATGATTCGAGGTTTGTTTCGATGCCCAAGCTGTTCATGACCGGGAACAGCGGGGCTTGGTGCTTGGGGATGAGCCGGTTGATCAGAGCCTTGATAGGTCCAGCATTGCCAACGCCCTCGCTCCCGGTGTAGTACTGAGTGTTGGCCGAGGTAAAGTTCTCAGACTTCATCATGGCAGAGCGCATCGAGTCCCAGTTCCACCCTGGGTTACCAAGCTCTTCCCATCCGTCATACTCGTGCGCAGACGCCCTATCGTATGAGAAGAGGTTGAGTGCGGAGCTCCCACCTAAGACGTGTCCTCTGGTCTGAACCCAGACGCGGCCATTTGATCCCTCCTGCGGCACAGTAGTGAGATTCCAGTCGTACTTGCTCCCAAACGTCGAACCTCTCCGACCCGGAATCTCAATGCGCTCGTCGCCGAGCCCTGATGGACCTGCTTCGATGACCAGGACTGTCGCGTTCTGCAGCCCCCGGCTGAGACGGGTCGACAGCGCGACTCCAGCAGTACCTCCGCCAACAACAATCTGTAGAGCCATCAGTTAGTTCACATCATAATTCGGGGTGGGTGTAATCGGTTAGAGAGCACAAACGTAGTCGAAAGCCTTGTCAGTCGGCTGACCAGGAGCTGCTGACACTGCTGCCACGTACAGGGCCAGGATCGAGGCGACTGGGAACATTTCGATGTATCGAGATCTTCATGCGAGGTCCCTTTGAACGAGGTAAAAGTCTGGTTTGAATCAAGCGAGCTACGCGGACATGCAGGTTTAGATGGCGCATAGGGTTGTGAGAGGCACACTTTGTCGGGCTGGGCGGCGGCACCAACGTCGCTGGAAGTGTGTCTCGACGGCGATCAGGATGTCCAACACCACTTGGGAAGTCTACTGAATCCGTGCTTTGCAAGGGCTTAGACGCTTGATGGGCGTTCTGGATCAGAATTCCGGCATTCTTTTGTACAATAGAACTTTGGGGCCCAGGGTAGTTCATGTGGCTTTGCAAAATGTTGGACAAAATAATCAACTCATTTCGCACAACCCATGGAAGCGAGTCAGGGCACACTTCAACCGGGCGTTCTAGTAGACGGGGAATCAACCCTTGCACACCCAGCGCGACATCGAAGACGATTAGATGAACTATCCGAGGAAACGTGGGTGGGTGGCTTTCAGGGTGAAAGTCCTCTTCGCTCCCGGGCGGGGTGAAAACGGCTGAGTTTGCGATAGAGATGGAATGTCGCCGGTGACCTTGATGCAACCTACCGTGCCTACTTTATCCGCAGCGTACCATCAACCGTTGAATCTGCATCGTCCTGACGCCTGGCTCTGCAGTCTCTCCTAGTTGTTGCGAGATGGGCGGGGTTCTTCGGACTTTGCAGCAGGGAATCGGCAGTTTACCCCGGTCGTGCCCTCCGCCCTCTCCAATACGAATTTCCACACCGGGAGCGACAGCGGCATCTGTGTGAAGAAGGTCTACCGCTAGCTTAATGTTCGCTTACATGGACAAGGGTTGTGTGGGTTGCACGAGAAGGCGCTAAGATGGCGTGGTAAAGGGGTTGATGGGCTTTGCTGAAGACTCTACCCGCCGCGATGAAATGATTACAATCAAGACGGACAGGTACCTATGGCGATGGAAAAGACTGGACCATTCAATTCTGCCATAACATTCAAATTTACGGAGTACTGTCCAAACTGCAGTCGCGCTGCTTTTTCATCTTTTGGCCTCACGCTGAGGGGTTGATAGGATTCTGTCCGAACAAAAGCCGTTGTATAGCACAGGTAGGCACAGGATCCTCTGCTAAGACAAAACTGGAGACGTAACGGGGGATTGACATGGACAATCTCGACAGTACACGGGACAAATCCTGAGCGCCAGGTCAGGATCTTATCCACCACGACCCAGGAAGGCCCCGCTATCGGACTTCCAAGCTGACTGGATTCAAGACCTGGTACCTTAACACCGGATTAGACAATCTTTGTCAGTGGGAGCTTGGGAGAGCATGAATATTTGACTTCCGAGAAGTAATTCTTCTGGTCAACACTCAACATTGCTCGATAACTGAAGCTTCATTCCCAGCTCTCGGCACACGTATCAGCAACCTTCACAGTTCGAGATACATCGGTATCTTCCATCACAAGCATAGCACGACCTTAGGCCCATAAGAAGGTTATCTGTACAAAGAGTTGAATTATCTCTGATGATCTGAATCTTGCGATTGCCATTTTTTCTCTTAAATAATGCCCAGCCAAAAGTGTGGGGATGCGAGTCATAAACCCAACGAGGCGGAAGCCAAGGTGTAATCAAAGCTGCGCAAACACTCCCTTAACTCCCAGGTCTCGAGAAAGTGAAGTTGCACGGGAGCGGAGCGGGTTCCGCATTCCAAACGGCTGTCCTGCTGCCATCCCTTTACATTCACAGAACCAGGCACGAGAAGTTTAATGTCGATTCTGCATGCCTGAGTCACATTGCCGGCCGAGTGGTAAAGCAATATCTGGGGGGAATCCGAAGAGCCACCATCTGGGCGCCACAGACTTTTGCAGCTTCCTTGAAATATGCGGACGAATTATTTGATGGGTTCTGGGGCGGGCTTGTTTGAAACAGAATGCCCAAACAGTGCAAAGCTATGGTCCGACAAAACTGACTTATATGACTGGCATCTGGCCATTGCTGAGAAGGCGGCATCTTCCTGCGTCATGTGTGTTCTCAGACACGCCACGACAGCGTGCCACTGGTCTTGAAACCCGATCTCGACGATACCACTTGCATAAACGGACTTCTCCAGACAGCAGCTACCTACGACGATGAGCGTAGTCTCTCGAAATGGATCATTACCGCCGAACGAGGACGTCGGTCCAATCTCCTTTTCTCTCGCCCTCGCCCTGACAATCTTCCTCGTCATCACGACCGGCCTCCGACTATGGGTGCGAGTAGCGAACCGGAAGCTCGGATGGGACGACTTGACTATCGCTCTCGCAGGCGCAACGGCAGTTGTACGGTTCGCCTTCGTCGTCTTACAATGGAAACACGGAAATGGCAGACACCGAGTCTATCTCAGCGACCATGACTACATGATGATCAACATGTACGGCTGGTGGGGACAAATGCTGCTCTTCATCTCTGTGGCGTTTCTGAAGGTGTCAATCTGTCTCTTGATCCTTCGCATCAAAGATACCAAGGTGCTCAAGCGCTTACTGCATGTCATCATGGCTGGTGTCCTCATTACGAATTTCGGGGTCGTGATCATTTTGATAGCCGAGTGTCAGCCCGTCGGCTTCTGGAGGGGCAAGTCAGCCGTGTGTTGGCCAACACACATCCGCATATACTTCATCTATGCGACGATTGGTATGATCAAAATATTCCGGAAGCCTCGGGGTCTCATCACTGATTAGAGTTGGTAGCATACTCGGTCTTGACGGACCTCATCTGTTCACTACTTCCTCTTGTGGTGATTTGGAATGTGAAAATCCCTCGACAGACGAAGATATCAGTCTCTTGCTTGATGGGGCTGGGCCTTGTGTGAGCTCCTCCCAAACATCTTCCAGTTTCCATGTACAGAAAAGACATCACGTCACCTAACATCCTATCTTTTTGAATATTAGGGCGACCGGGTTCGGCGTCGCTAGAGCAGCGTCACTGGGAATATCCACCTCAGACTTGAGTTGTGCGTTCAATTTCCCCTACCATCAACGGAACGAACCGAAATAAAGACTGACGTTTGTCTTGCAGGGGCATACTGTGTCGCCGGTATCTGGTCGAATCTCGAACTGTTCCTGGGTATCATCGCCGCAAACCTCGCTCTTACAAGGTCCATCTACGTCCACTTCTTCAGCAATAGTACAGCGCAGCAGACACTTCCAGGGTCAACGGGCAGATGTGACCCGTTGCAGTCTGAGTATCTCAGTAGCAAGCTCCGAGGCGACCGCTTTGAAGTGGCTTCGACGATGATTGGGTCACCTCGTCGAAGAGGTTCGGAGACGAGGAGCTCAGATAGTGAAATCCCGCTGAAATCAGGCATCCAGAAGAAGACTGAATTTTGGTGGACAGAGGATGACGAAGGCCAGCCGCAGAGACCATCTCCGTGAGTCAAGTTTGATGGGAGAAATACAGCTGTAGGTAGCACCTATACATGACGTCTGGCGGCCGCATTCTCCAGGTGGCCGGCGGTCTTCAAGCGGCCCGCAACTTGATGCAAGAAAGCTTTCTGAAATTGACGTGGAATCTGAATTTATATCAAGCCCAAGTTTCGTTTCGTTTCCTCCAGAAATATACATGCTGAAGAAACGGGTAATTATACAGCTGCTATGAGTGACAATCTCTGTTTTATTACATACAACATGATCTTACTGACATGTGACCGGATAACCAAGAAATCTATCTTGACGTTGAGATTCGGATCGAGACCTTCGACCGTGGAACGGCGATCCCTCAGTAGTCGACGAAACTACAGCACCAGCTTAACCCACACTCATGACTACATTGAGCACCAGACGAAGTCTCAGGTTCTCCTTAATCGCCTTTCAACGCATGGTTTGGGTGCACCCACCACTTGAGAATCAGATTCTCCCCATAACCTACGTCTCGTCAACGAGGCGCAGACGCGACGTGACCATCGTCGTGAGTAGTCCCTCTCGATCGCCGCGATCTCGACAGCTTCTCCTTCTTGCCGCATCGCGGCACCAGATCCTTCTCGAGCAGAGCTTGAAAACACGGAAGCGACGCCACGGGAAACCACGTCTTTGGCTCGTGGTCGGCCCACGCCTCCTGCCACTGCTGCGGAGTCCGATTCCGGTGATCATGCACGATCCGGTCGACGTTCCACAGCTCGCCCGGTTCAAAGTTGCACCTCACAATCAGCGTCCCTTGAACGATATCCTTCATGGCACGAGGGAAGGGAATCCCCGGTAAAAGTATTGGGTCCTGCGGGCGACTGGGAGCTTGTTGGACATGATGGACCGGGTGAGCAACCACTCCGTCGGCGGGACGATGCCCTGGTCCACCGATGCAAACCAGGCCACCTGCCACGCGATATCTCTCTGGTTCGTCATTTGGAGTATCTCCGTGCACAACTGGGGCGTGGGCTGGCCGTCAAGAATCAGAGTGAAAGATGCAGGCGGCATTCCCGCGGGGACGAGAGCAAGGGCTTCCATAACCCACCGCGACACGTTGGCGGTAACCTGTTTGGCCTCCAGACCCCATGGTCCTGGTTCGCGTCGGGCCATGGTCCGGTATTTGGCCTGGCGGCGAGTATCCGGGGTGTCGAAGTTCGAGTCTGGTAGCAAGGCATTCCGCCACAAGTTGACCCAGCGATCGATCCGCAGGAGAGAAACGACCAGACAAACTGCACAGCCCATGCTGGCAATTCTTTCTGGACTAAAGGCCCCGCTGAGTTCGCGCAATGAGACCCAAAAAGCTCGTCTTCCGCTTCTTGTTCCGCGTGGCAGTGGGGTTCTTCGGGGGTTGTACTGTGTGGTACACGGCGGGCAGTCGGCGCCGGGACTTTGAGTCCTGGAGTCGGGCGATTAACGGCTTTCTGTCCCGTACGGCACGGCGGGTCCACTAACGGTGCCCCGTGGCTCCGTTGGTTGCTTTCCCCGGAGCCACGCCGACGCCCCCCACTGACCGCCGAATCACAGTCCTCGATATTTAAGACGGGTGGATGCTGCAAGCTTGCGACAAAGAGCAAGGTAGTCAACACTTACATCCTCATTCCAGACTTACTTTCTTCAAAATCGTAATTGCTGCGTCATCGGTGTCAGCTACAGCGTAAGTACAAATGGGCACTTTTCCCTACCCCGCCGCCATGCGTTGACGGACAATCGGGGCCCATTCACCGCCGAGAAGCCAAAGCTCGGCCCCAATGTCCCTCCCCTTCTTATCTTTGTCCCAAAAGCATCCCATAATCCCGTCTGGAAAACGCCTCGAGTCGTAATCACAGGACGTGACACATTTCTTACCATCTTATTGGTTCAAAGAGATGCTGTACGACTACGGGCGGACGTCCGGTCCGGGTCCTCATCCACCCGACTCGTCCAACGGCAACGGCCTTTGACGCCAAACCTCCGAAATGGCGCACCCGCACACATGTGTACACGGACTATTGTGACACCGGATATTGGATGCAACAAGCCACTCGGAGATGCTATTCGTAAGCAGACATGGAGCCATACTGAGCGAGCCACGAGACTGACGACGTTCCACAAAGGTATGACGATGGATCAGCTCCTTCGGGTGTCGTGCACTTTCAGCTTAAGGTAAGGTAGAATCTAAATATCGAGCTACCCCACACCAAATCTCACTCTCGATTTCCCCGGACCATCCATCCGCAGATCCTCCAAACATCATCTACATCCCCAGATCCACCGCGGGAATACCTTCACAGCAAACCAACACAACACGACAACATGGCGATCAAAGCCTCCACCGGAGTCTGCAAACCCTCCGAACTAGCCCACCTCGTCCTCCGCACAGCCAACCCCGAAAAGCTAGTCTCCTTCTACCAAACCTTCCTCGATGCAAAAATCACCGCCTCAAGCCCCCTCATCACCTTCCTCACATGGGATCACGAGCACCACCGCCTCGCCATCCTCAACGACCCCACCGCCGTCCCGCGACAGGACAACACCGTCGGCATGGACCACTTCGCCCTGACCTTCGACTCTCTTGGCGACCTGCTGCAGTCTTACAAGGCTCGCAGAGATCTGGGTATTGAACCTATTTGGTGCGTCAACCACGGCATGTCGACTAGTATGTACTACCGCGATCCGGATGGCGGCAAGATTGAGACGCAAGTAGATGTATTCGAGACGAAGGAGGATGCTGTTGCGTATATGACGAGCGCGGAGTTTGGAGAGGATCCCAGGGGGCCGAGGTTCGACCCTGAGGAGATGGTCAAGAGGTTTGAGGCTGGCGAGGATGAGAAGAGTTTGATGAAGAGGACGGCTTTTGCGAAGGAGGAGGTGAAGGTATGATATTTAGGCTGCGTTGTGCATCAGGATGTTGTGGTTCCGAGAATCAGATTGAATTTCGTGGATGCATCGTGCTCGCACGTGTCAGAGTCATAGGTGCATTTAGTAATTGCATACAACGATGCTAAAAGCACACTTAGCATACAACTGAAATACCACTAGTATTGAACTCTGAGAAGTCTTCTTGAAAGCCTGCTATTTGTTGGTGTGCGGTACTAGACTTGTTGTTCTGCTCCCACGTAAAAGTTGGTGCTAGGAACATGCGGCAAGACACCTAAGCAACAACCTCAACCCTCAGATCGAAGGCCTCATGACTGTAGATTGATTCAGAGCTGGGCTGTGAACTTAGCGAAGAAGTCAACGTGACAGGAACTCTTTATGTTCACGCCCGATCGTCTCGATTACAAACTGGCAAACTTATATTCAAGTACGTACTCGTCTATCTTGAGTACCTAGATGAGCATGAGAAACGTAGGGCTTAACTTGATAATATCTCTTTTACTCCCCGTTTGCCGTCCACGTCACCTTAGCTCAGAGCGCATTTGAAGAAAATATGGAGATTTTCGTATTGGGACTGTTCCCCAGTCGACGGGGTAAGCGCCATGCCAGACATAACGTAGCGAAGGTACATGTAGGGGCCGGGAACAGGGGGCCGTATGATCTGACGCGAGATGCACCCTTGCTCTGCCAAATCTGCCAGACTCTACTTTGCTTGTCTTGTCAGAGGACAAAGAGCGTAGTTGACTGACAGAGTCAAAGCCGAATATATCAAAAGACTGCTCTTCAGGTTGATAGGAGAATGCTCCAAGTTGATTGGATTGTGTTGCAGACAACATTGTGGCTCGGAGTGTCTAAGACCGACGGAAAATCTTTCTTCAGTAGACTACTCAGACATGCGTTGAATAGGACCGTCCAATCTCATACCTCAGAGACTCTGAATAAAGGATCAAAGATTGAATGAGAGAATCGAGGCAACGGGTCGCCTTCACATCGCATGCCCCGAACCCTCTACGTTACCGACCATACTCCCTTCAATCCTTATACCATTACCTTTTAGCGCAAAAGGAAAGACAGTTTCCCCAAAGCTTCATTTCCGTCCATACGACACAATTCCTCATTCCAACAAAAGCCAGGGCATGCGCCTGGTTTTTTCTTGCTGTGGCTGGGACGAAACAGCATCAGCCAAGCCTTTTTGGCAGGCCTTGAGTGGCTTTGAATCTCCGAGGGCTGCAGATGACCCCTGTCATCAACTTTAGTTCAGCCCCCAGCTGCCCCCCAGACTGTGCATTTGGCGAGTGTCGCGCTGCTGTCTGGCCCGTCGAGAGTTACACCGTCGCACTCTCGGTGACGTCAAGAGGGACGGGAAGTGGCTTGGCAGCGCGTCGTCGCGCCTGGACTCTCAAGTCTCTTGGCTCTCTGTAGCGATGTGTTGTTTCTGTGCTCTCTCTGTGTGTGTTGTCTGCCTCTGTCAAGTACGACTTGCACTACGTATTGCCTGTTTGTGGTGATGCAGCTGCCAAGGATATGATGAACATGGCGGTGATGGTGAGAAAGCGCGCTTGGCATATTACCTGGACGTTTCCCCCTTCACTGCTTGGGCAACAACCTCGTCTTTCTCTTTCGCATGATATTTTGGTTGAGAGGACTCCATCAGGATATCGTCAAGACTCAATTCGGTGGATACACCACCATCTTCTTCCCCTCCTGGTCCCGAGTATCACCTAATAGGATCTATCCTCAGACCTCAAGAGCAACATTGCTACTTAAGATGGCTGGCTTCAACCCTTTCGCACGTCGTCGGAAAGACACCACGACCCTTCCGACACATCGCAAAAGTAGCCAGGAGACAAGGGTCAATGATCACTGGCATGGAAAAGACTACAGCATGGCTCACCGGCCGCCCTTCATGCTCTGGCTCAAGGTGACATGGCTAGACATCCTCACCATGATCATCATGGGAGTCATCGCCCTAGTGGTACGCACCTTACCTCGCATCCGACCTCTGACATTCAGCTAACACCACACATCCAGGTCTTCAGAGCGCACCCGCCAGCACACCGAACGTTCCCCGTCACATTTGACAACGGCGAGGTCGTCTACCCCCAATTCGCATACCCGCACATCCCGCAGTACATCCCCAGTCACGCCGCCACCGCCCTCGGCATCGGCGTGCCCATCCTCTCCATTCTCCTCTGCCAGATAAGGGTGCGCTCCTTCTGGGACATCAACAACGGCATCATGGGCCTGCTCTACTCCGTCATCGGCTCCACTGTCTTCCAGGTCATGATCAAGTGGCTTATCGGCGGCCTGCGTCCTAACTTCCTCGAAGTCTGCCAACCCGATATTAGCAAGGCCTCCCAACCGGGCGGGAACGCAACAGGCCTGGACGGGACGGGCTATGGAGGCATCATGTGGACGTCGGATATCTGCACCAGGGAGATGGACGGCACGCTCTCCAACGCGATGGAATCTTTTCCCTCGGGGCATACGACTGCAATGTTCTCGGGCATGGTGTTTCTGTATCTCTACCTCAACGCCAAGTTCAAGGTCTTTTCGAACCATCACACGCCCATGTGGAAGCTTGTCCTCGTATACGCTCCGATCCTCCTCGCTACCCTGGTCGGCGGCTCCCTAACGGTCGACCAGTCCCATAACTGGTACGACGTTCTGGCGGGCGCCATCATCGGTACTGTCTTTGCCTTTTCGTCGTACAGGATGGCCTACGCCGCCGTCTGGGATTGGCGTATCAATCATATTCCCCTCCACCGCAAGATGCCTTTGGACTTCAACCTCGAGGCTATTGGAGAGAATGGCGCGGTGGTCACACGCAAGGCCGGATGGGGTAAGAGACACGAGGAAAAGAAAACTGGTCTTGACAGAATGGTTAGCAGGACGAGGTATACCAGCGGCAGTAGGGATACGCGAGTTGTTGGTGTGCCCCGTAAGGCAGTAGCATCTCACCACTCGAGAGGCGACCGGCGTCCTTCTGGCGAGGACATGGTCTAGTCGGTCGCCGACTCGTACCGCCGAGTGGGAGTTTTGTTTGGTCCAAGGAGTTACGAATGATACCCAGATCTGAGATCGAAGCAAGCGTGGTCCCCGATAGCGCTATCAACGATGGCACGAGAGCAAGCGCCGTCGGCTCAGATACCTGCGTGTTTTACTTGCCTAAGGTAAGGTACATAGTACTCATCATTAATACTACACAACAAAGTTTTATTCAAAGCATCAACAAATTTCGGACTTCACCTCCCAATCATTAAAGTCTGATCAGTTTCTCTTGGCTTGGCCAAGCTTCACAGACACGGCATTGGCGTTCGGGGCGCACGTTCATAAAATGTCAATGGTATCATATCGAACCTGACATTAACGGCCACGCTGGTTCA